ATCTAATCCAGTAAGGAACAGTATAACGAAAATTTACTGACGAATAAAAATTAACAAAATGTTAAGCTATATATCAGGATGCGGGCATTGTGGTATGTACCATCAATGGTACATCTATAAATCTCTCCTAGCAAAAATCATAAGTTAATCAATCATAAAAAATTATAAGTTCAATTTCAAATCATAATGAAACTACGAAAAAAATACCTACCTTCTGATGAGGAAACAAATGTTTACCACGATTAAAAACTACGTTTTCTTTTTTAAAACAGGTACCGCATAAGTGGAATAATTTGTAATAAGTAATTGAATGCCGTAGGTTTGGCAAAACTACTCATTACCCTTGTGATTTATATGCCGTTAATATACTAGGCTTCATATAACGTACTATACACAACGCGGAAAATTACAACTATTGGAAAAATTATCATACTGGTAAAGATCATTTTGTAATATAGCAGAAACTTGCAATATATTCAGACACTTGAAAAATTGATGATCTTATTAGGTTTCACTGAAATTGTTTAAAATACTTAACAGGCAAGCACTTGAAATATAATGAATAATAAACGAAATAGAACTAGAATGTATGAAGTGCTAATAAAAATTGCAAATGCTTGAAAAATAAGCATTTCGGTTCAAAATATTCTCAAACCGTTTTCATTAAACGTTTTCATTATATCAAAGAAATAAACAGAAATATAAAAAATCATACAACTGAAATTGCTAACAGAATCATGGCATGCAGTATCTGATACATGTACGGGTGGGTCAAATTCGACGCTTTTAAATGGAAACACCCTTTTCTATTATAGGAGATAGATAAAAACTAATGTCGGTGTCTGGAGCTCAATTTTTGGCAAAAACATGATGGTGAAAACCGCATATCGATATCTGTTACCGGTTCGGAGTTACGGGGTGTTTTTCAATATGTCTTATAAATATCGCTTACTTCCTACCACCAGCATCCTTTCTGCAGAACTTTTTGCTATTAAGGAGTCACTAAGAATAATCTCCAACCTACCTCCTTCCAAATGGATGATATGTTCAGATTCACTAAATGCATTACAATGCCTAAACGAATTATCACCAAAACATCCTCTAGCCGTTAAATAGCTCGACTTGCATCACTCTTCAATATCTAAAGGTTCAACCGTGGATCTAGTATAGATTCATAGCCATGTGGATATAAGAGGTAATGAAGATGCTGATAAGATTGCTAAGACTGCGGCAAATGATGCATTTTCTATCTCTGAACTTAAATTTCTACATATGTCCACAATAAAAAGTGGTATCCAGGCAGAGTGGGAAGTGACCGGAGATTCAAATAAGCTATAGGAATGTAAACCTCAATTCTTTCAAGTTTCTGTAGCTCGGTCACTGTCCAGAAGTGAGGAAGTCATTTGGAATCGGCTCAGGTTGGGTCACTGCTATTTCACCCATTCTTTCCTTTTAAAAGGCGACCCCCCGCCTAACTGCTCTCATTGTAGCAACCAATTAACAGTGTACCACTTCCTAATAGAATGTCCCTCCTTCAATAACTTAAGACAATCATTGGTCAGAATGGCGATCTGGCTTACGTTGTTGATGCTTATAACCTACATTCTTTGTTCCAATATATTAGGGCATCGGGTTTGGGTTCATTAATATAGTTTAATTTAAGTTTAATTTGATCAATGCCGCTAAGTGGCCCAGCAGCTGATGGATGGATAAAATCCTTCTTCTTCTTCTTTTTCTTCCTTTATTCTTCCGCAAATATATCCATAGGATTAGATCCATGGGCACTAAGTCAGGCGGCCTCGACGGCCAACGGCTGGGATCTTGGTTAACTATTTAATTATTTGTGAAATAGGCTGCAAAACTTTTGCTGATAACTTTAGCGTTCAGAAGCGGTGCATCGTCTTGCTGGAAAAATATGTTTTCGAGTTCCATTAAGGGCATATCATCAATAAGGGGTCCAAAACTTACTAGTTAGAAGTGGCGAACTTTTAAAAATTCTGTATTTCGAAGGGGATTATAACAAAATATCAAGTGTGCTATATTTTTGGAAAGGTAATTTTAAATTATTTTCAGTTAATTAAAAATATAGAGGGTGTCCCAAATAAAAAATCAATTTTTCTGTTGATAACTCTTAAATTAATGATAATTCGGATTGTCACAGGGTTTCTAACAGGACACTGTCTCCTCAACGAGCAGTAGATTGAAATTGAGAAACAAAAGCGAATGCAGATTCTATGGGGAAAACACCTTATTACCGAATGCACCGAGACGACAACCGTTCGTGGCATAAACTTTGGTACGGCTGATGTTGGAGATGGAAAGCTGGTCTCTGTAGAACCGTCTCAGATACTTGCTTTTGTCAAAGCCCTGAGAGTGTATGATGAGTTTAATGAGTTGAAAATGTTATAAAATTAATAAATGTTTTATGTTTATAAATCAAAAGACTCTATACAGGGTTGTTCACCACATACGACACGGTGTATTGTAGCTAAACGATTAGATTTTTAAAAATTGTAACATTTGGGTTCGTTGAAGGACTATTACAGCTACAATTTAAAAATATTTTTAAAAGATACAGAGTGTCCCAAATAAATAAAAAATATCAAAGTTATATTTTTTTAAATGGAACACCCTGTATATTATTACAATTTTAGTTTCTACGATTAAAATAAAGGTAAATTTGATTAAGGTTTATTACACTTAAACCTTACCGTTTATAAAATATTTTCAATTTTGTGAAATTGTAGTAAAATGTTAAGGCTTTATTTCGCCGAGGGTATCAAAGTTTTAAATACTAAATATTTACTGAAGTTTATTTATTGATCAGTTATTGTGTTACAATAATAAAAATTATACTACCTTATACAGAGCGTCTAAAAATTTATTTTAAATAATTACTAGCTTTAAACGGCACAGTTTCCGTGGAAAATGCATTTTCTTGCAAGTTAGAACTCATTTATCAATATATACTCATGGAATACTGACATTTTAGATAATTTTTAAAGATGTACCAAATTTTTGAAGAGTACAGATTCTAATATTGTCGATATAGTTCGTTTATCTCATTAAAAAATAAAAAAAACTGTTTAAATATTTGTTAAAGAGGACCAATTAATATCATTCCAGTATTCAAACTACATTAATTGATTGTTTGCGTTAATTAATATTAATTGTTTCAAATACTAAAAAACTAAATTTTGTATGTGCATTAGACAGTGTGGTAAAAAGTAACACCTCAAAAATAATATTTCATTTTTTAACAAATGCTTATTTATAACAACAGAAACGTTTATTTTCATAACTTATTATTATATTGATTTCTGATTCAAATCCACATCTATTTAGAATAACTTATTAACGAACACAATTAAGTATGTAATTAATTATTATTTGGGCGGAAATAATGGTGGCATATTTAATTAATGGTATATTTTTTTATAAAGATTTAAAAAATTTTCTTTTTACATACAAATGGAACAGGAATATTATCGTTTTGCTAAAAACATTAATATTACTAGCCTGTACATTTTGTTTATTTGTTGCTTTAAAAACAATCTAAAACGTCAACATTCCATGGGTATATTGATAAATGAGGTCTAAATTATAAGAAAATGCATTTTCTACGAAAACTTGAAGGAATAGGTAAAAAGTGGTATAATACAATTTGAAAGAAAATTAAATTGTGCATCTGATTCTCCTAAAATATATAGGGCGTTCCGTTTAAATTAAACAAATTATTGCCGTTTAAAGCTAGAAATTGTTTAAAATAAGCTTTTAGATACTCTGTGTGAGGTAGTATTATTTTTATTATTGCAACACAATAACTGATCAATAAATAGACTTCAGTAAATATTTAGTATTAAAAACTTTGATACCCTTGGAGAAATAAAGCCTTAAAATGTTTACTGCAATTTCACAAAATTGAAAATATTTCAAAAACGGCAAGGTTTAAGTATGATTTGATTAAAAGTACATTGATCAAATTTACCTTTATTTTAATCGTAGAAACTAAAAATGTAATAATATACAGGGTGTTCCATTTAAAAAAATACAATTTTGATATTTTGTATTTATTTGGGACACTCTGTATCTTGTAAAAATATTTTTAAATTGTAGCTCTAATAGTCCTTCAACGAACCCAAAACTTACAATTTTTAAAAATCTAATCGTTTAACTACAATACTCCGTGTCGTATGTGGTGAACAACCCTGTAGATACTGTTTGTTACTTAATAGAGAATTTGAATTTAGCGCCTAAAGCGCGCCATATTGGTGACGTAGAGAATGACATAGCAGCCACGTTCAAGAAAAGAATTGTACACACATTCTTGTAAAACACACATAGCAAATAAAGTTTCATAGAAGTTACAACTTCTTTCAATCCACAACATACACACAAAAATCAACAGTCCACTGCACAATCATATTCAAACAAAACATTGGTCCTTCGACGCAGAATAGCATCAAAACGGTTGAGAAATCAGCAAGAATACACGGAAAAGGAGTTGAACCTAACATTTTACAACAAACAAAAGAAGCCAAATCATAACAGAATTCATTCAGCAAGACACAGCAATTCATCAAGTAGGTCCATTCCTTTATATCCTAGCTCATACAATCATTTAAACCAAAGCTAATATTTGATTTTACAATAAAAGTCAATTTAATCTCATATATATCATAAAAAACACATTATAGTCGTTAAAATAGCATAGTATCAGGTAGGATAGTTGTACAATGAACATAATTTCAAGCATTTACAGTAGTTTTGACATACCAAGTGTGAATTATTTAAACAAAATCATAGCATTCAATTTAGCCGGTTATTTCTGGATATTATTCGTTTACATGTCGGTTTCAAAACGACTTCCGAACAATTTTTCACACTAACGTTTGCATGGGGGTCAAAATTTAAATTAATAGGTAAAATAATTAGAAACATAATTATTTAGACATAAATCAGTTACATACTTATTTAAACAATTATAATAAATAGTAACAATGTCGGACGAAGAATTCAAAACATTAAAAGTTCAATGCAATATGCTTAAAAATCGATTATTTCGGTTTGAACAATTTTTAAATGATGCAGCGAATCATAAGAAAATCGATGAAATTGATATTCGTTTACAAAGATTAGATGAAACATGGAACGAATTCCAAACTGTACAACTTTCTATAGAATTAATTGACAATTCTGACGAAATTTGTGCTGAGAGGAATGTCTTTGAAGACAAATATTTTTATTTAGTTTCAAGATTCAGATATTTAATTAACACTTATAAAACACACTCTAACAACAATCAAGTAGTTCCTAATAATTATCTAAATCCGTCAATGAACATAAAACTACCTCAAATCGACCTGCCGCATTTTAATGGAACATACGAGAACTGGTTACCCTTTTATGAGGGATTTAAAGCACTTGTTCTTGATAATCCGTCACTCAACAATATTCAACGCTTTTATTATTTACTTTCGGCTTTAAAGAATGACTCGATTCAGGTAGTTCGGTCACTAGAAATCAGCGATCACAATTTTGATATAGCATGGCAATTGCTGAAGGACAGATATGAGAACAAACGTGTAATTGTTCAAAATCATATAAAAGGCATATTTGAGCTCCCCGTTATGAGCAAAGAAAATCACGGTATCTTAAGAAAAATTATAGACGGTTTTTCTAAACATCAAAGAGCTTTAAAGTCATTAGGACAACCAGTCAATACCTGGGATACATTATTGATTTATATTTTAAGCAATAAATTAGATAATCATACAAGACGCGAATGGGAAGCATCTTTAAAGTCAGATCAGCTACCAGATATAACTATATTTTTAGATTTTCTTAAAAATAAAGCACAATTGCTCGAAACATTAGACACTCGTGAAACAAATAGGGTAGTAGGAGTTAAGTCAGATAAATCATTCATGCGTTCATCAAGTCATTTAGTCACCAAAGCCAATGATCAATTTAGAACTGATTGTAGGTTTTGCAGAGATAATCACATGATTTACAAATGTGATAAATTATTAGCTCTTTCTCCTAAGGCAAGATATACGGAATTAAACAAATTAAATATATGTTGTAATTGTTTAAAATTCGGACATTCAGTAAATACATGTCGAAGTAGTAGTGCTTGTAAGCAATGTCATAAACGACATAACACTGTACTGCATTTCAATAATTACATTGTCAAAGAAAAAAACGTTACAGAATCGCCTACATCAAATGGCACAGAATTATCTACAGTTCAACCAACACATCCCAGTGTTCACATATCACAAGAACGTCAGATTCTGTCAAATTCAGAAGATTCCATCGTGAACGTGACTTCTCTAGAACAAAATTTGTTACATTCCAAATCAGTAAACGAGCAGGTATTGTTATCCACCGCACATATACATGTTTTTGATATAAATAATAAGCCTGTCAAATGTAGAGCATTATTAGATTCAGGTTCTCAATCGAATTTTATGACTCATGAATTATTCAAAGTGCTTAAACTAGACGCTTTACCGATTCAAATACCGGTAACAGGAATTAATCAAACAAGTTAAATATTAATAAAAAAGTTTTTGCCAAAGTTAAGTCAACTGATAGCTCGTATAGTTCAAATCTGTCATTTTTAATTTTAAACAAAATAACAAGTGAGTTGCCACAGTATTATTTTAGTCCTTCCGAGTTGAACATTCCAGACAATATTGAAATATCAGATCCAGAATATAATAAACCAGGTAAGATAGACATGCTGTTAGGCAGCGGAGTTTTCTTTTCTTTACTATCATCAGGCAAAATCGAACTAAATAAATATGGTCTTATCTTACAACAAACTAAATTAGGTTGGATATTAGCCGGTCCATTACAAATTCCCGAGTCAAACTCTTCTGAAATAGTCTCTTGTTCTAATGTAGCTTCCAATTGTCTTTTTACGCAAAATGATAATCTTCTAAACGAACAACTCGAGCGTTTTTGGCAAATTGAAGATCTGTCATCTGATAATACAAAGTTATCAAATGAAGAACTTGATTGTGAAATACATTTTCGAAAACATTTTGAACAGGACACTACCGGTCGTTACACAGTACAACTTCCGTTGAAGAGCAATCATACTGAATTAGGTGAATCAGTAAGTACAGCAATCCAGCGTTTAAAGCACCTGGAAAGTAAGCTAGTACGCAATGATGACTTACGTAAACAATATCATGAATTTCTGCAAGAATATGAAGACTTAGGACATATGTCAAGAGTTAATATCGAATTGGATAAATCCAATGAAATACATAATTATTTACCACATCACGCGGTAGTAAAAGAAGATAGTAGTACTACACGTGTAAGAGTAGTTTTTGATGCATCATCTAAAACGGCATCAGGATTCTCTTTGAATGATGTGATGATGATAGGTCCTGTTGTTCAGAGAAACTTGTTTGATATTTTAGTACACTTACGCATATTTAATGTAGTCATTACAGCGGACGTTGCAAAAATGTACCGACAAATATTTGTCCATGAATCGCAGCGCAATCTACAAAAAATTGTATGGCGCAAAGAACCATCGGAAGAAATTAAACATTATCAGTTGAATACAATTACTTATGGAACAGCTAGCGCTTCCTTTCTAGCCACACGTACTCTACATCAAATTGGACTTAATTGCAAGGATACTGAGCCTATAGTTAGTGATGCAATTTTAAATAATTTTTATATGGACGACTTAATTTGCGGAGCATCCACCATTGAAGACGCTATAGAGCTAAAATCAGGGCTGGAAAGAGTTTTGTCGAATTCAGGCTTAACGCTGAGGAAATGGCGATCAAATAAACAAGAAGTTCTTAATACAAGTTTAAATAAAGAGTCAGAAAATGAAAGCCAATCTCAGTACGTGATATCATCAGATATGAAAGGAAAAACATTAGGTATATATTGGGATACAAAAACTGATATATTTCAGTATCTTATAACATATAAAGACTTAAAGAAACCAATTACAAAAAAGGTTATACTATCTACAATAGCCACTATTTTCGACCCACTGGGTCTCATATGCCCATGCATTATAAGAGGCAAATTATTCCTACAACGGCTCTGGCAATTAAAAATAGACTGGAATGAAGAAATTCCTGGCGATTTTCAAGACATTTGGAGAGATTTTATCGATACCCTGACAGACATAAATAAAATACAGATTCCGAGACATGTTATACTGACCAAACCGTCAAGGTTATATTTACATGGATTTTCTGATGGATCAGAAGTAGCGTACGGTGCTTGCATTTACATTGTGTCGACCGATGACAGTGGTCATAGTTTATCAAATTTAATATGTTCTAAATCACGTGTTTCACCGATTAAAACCATATCTTTACCGAGATTAGAACTATGTGCAGCGTTATTGTTAGCTCAATTAATGAACACGGTTCGACAAGCATTGAAACTTGATGTTACTTGTTACTTTTGGACAGATTCTAAAATCGTGTTGGCGTGGTTAAATGATCAACCTAACAGATGGAAGACATTTGTAGCCAACAGAGTGTCAGAGATTCAGTGCTTGAGTGAACATTCCGATTGGTATCATGTACCTTCCCCAGATAATCCTGCGGATATTGTATCTCGTGGCTTACAACCTTCAAAATTAATACATTCTAAATTGTGGTGGCATGGCCCTGAGTGGCTTACTCAATCCATAGATCATTGGCCATCAAAAGGTGAAATTAAAATAGATACAATTCCCGAAATGCGCAAGGAAAAGATTATTTTAACGTATCATACAATTACTGACAGTTCAATATTTTCTCGATATTCTAGTTTTTCTAAACTACAGCGCGTAGTAGCTTATATTTTAAGATTTAATCATAATTCTAGAAATAAGGATAAACTAGATAAGGGTCTTTCCCATAACGAGTTGGAAAGAGCTACTCTGGTATTGTGTAAAATGGTTCAGGCACTGGAGTTTCCAGTAGAACTAGCTCTTTTATGTCAGAGCAAGTCGATTCATAAAAATAGTAATATTTTATCATTAGATCCTTTTATAGATAAGGATGGTCTTATTAGAGTAGGAGGGCGACTTAAACATTCATCTCTAACATTCGAACAAAAACATCCTATTTTGTTGCCCGGAAAACACATATTAACAAAGCTTTTAATAAAACACGAGCATCATAAATGTTTACACGCCGGTAGTCAATTAATTCTTGCACGATTGCGTACTAAATTTTGGCCAATTAATGGTCGTAATGCTGTTCGCAGTGTATTAAAGAATTGCCTCACGTGCTTTAAAACCAATCCAAAAACAGCGGTTCAAAAAATGGGTGATCTACCTGAATCGCGAATCACACCTTCTAGGGCGTTTTATCATTGTGGCATTGATTACACTGGATTTTACAATTTAAAAGACGGAAAATCAAGAACACGGACTTTAGTTAAATGTTATTTATGTATATTCGTTTGTCTAGCTACTAAGGCCGTACATGTTGAGTTAGTTTCCGATCTTACTACTGAAACATTTATGAACGCGTTTAAGAGATTCGTATCTCGGAGAGGTCTATGTCGACATATTTATACTGACAACGGTACTAACTTTGTTGGTGCTCATAACAACATGCAAGACGTTTATAAGATATTAAAAAACTTAAACGATAATGAAAAGTATTATAACTATTTTAAAGATCATATTATCGAATGGCATTTCATACCTGCAAGATCTCCTCATTTTGGAGGCATGTGGGAAGCGGCAGTAAAATCGTTTAAACATCATTTAAAACGAGTTGTACAGATGCTAGTTTAACGTTTGAGGAATTTTACACGGTCTTGACTCAAATAGAGGCGATTTTAAACTCCAGACCTTTATCCCCTCTTTCAAATGACCCTTTAGACCTTTACCCATTAACCCCAGGACATTTCTTAATTGGCGATGCTCTGGTCTCAGTTCCTCAACAAGCAGTAGTTGATATACCATTGAACCGATTGTCCCACTACAAGAAACTACAACAAATGGTGCAGAGTTTTTGGAACCGCTGGTCAAATGAGTATCTGCATACCCTACAACAACGTTCTAAATGGAAGGAGGACAACAGCAACATTATCATCGGCTCGCTGGTTCTCCTCAAGGACGAAAATCTTCCCCCCATGAGTTGGCAACTGGGTAGAATCATGGAGGTGATTCCCGGCAAAGACGATAAGGTTCGGGTAGTCCTGGTGCGTGTCCGTGGCGGTATTGTTAGAAGAGCGATACATAAAATTTGTCCGCTGCCTCAGGCAGACTAGATATGTATTATTAAGCTAAGATATACTAATATAAGTTATGATATGTTAGTAATATGTGCCATTTTTGATATTGTATAAGTTAATATTGTTAATTCAAATTAATATTTTATTTTATATATTGAAATAGTTAAGTATTTCAAGGCCGGCGCCATGTTTCTTACTTAATAGAGAATTTGAATTTAGCGCCTAAAGCGCGCCATATTGGTGACGTAGAGAATGACATAGCAGCCATGTTCAAGAAAAGAATTGTACACACATTCTTGTAAAACACACATAGCAAATAAAGTTTCATAGAAGTTACAACTTCTTTCAATCCACAACATACACACAAAAATCAACAGTCCACTGCACAATCATATTCAAACAAAACAGATACTATGTAAACATTTTAGAATTATTAATAACAATCTCTGACTATAATGAGTAACAGAGTATCACTGATTTCTTAAAAAACTTCTAAAAGGCAACTCATCGACTACTGAAAAAAAAATCCGCTAGAGGTTCTATTAAGGATAATAGTCCTCGGTCGCCAAAAATGAACGTATAGTGAGATGTAGACTAAATTAATAAAAAGGGGAAAGTTGTTATTTCTATGCTTTTAGAAATTCTTGATAGAGGGAATAAAATAATTGATTGGCTGTAGCGTGTAGGAATGAATAATTTCTTAATTTTTGACTAGCCTGTTTTTTAGAGAAATCAATTTATTTGTAGTTGATTCAAAATCTAAATGTTAGTTCTTTTCATAAAAAAATATATACCTATCCTAATAAAATTATGCGAGTAAAAATAGATGAAATGCTATCAGCAATGAATAACGTCCAGCTGTTATTATATTTACTGCAAATAAAAGCGCAGGTCACTGGCATGGGTGGGTCGAAAATTATGTGGTTGTTGCCATTGTAGCACTTCGTTATAATTCGAAACTGGCCAGCCCGTTAAGTCGTAAACTATTTAAGCCAATATTTGCTTTTCATATATTTGTAGGATTTGCGTAAAAATAAAAGCTTTGGAAATGATGGGATTGGAGATATTAACATAACGCTAAATGAGCTATCGGAAAACAACACCCAATAACATTTTAATGGTTAGCGGAAAGATTTTAATAGGAAATATCTAAATATGATATGCTTAATAAAAAATTGCAATAATTATAAACAAAATGATTGTTGAAGCAACTGTGCGAAGAATATTTTTTGTTTATAAAAATATTATGTCATCGTATATCCTTTTCCGATTTAGGTTTAAAACTTGTTCCGCTTCACTATCTCTGTATAACGTCCAGTACTTCACCATTGCGGGGGTTGATATCGTAGCTTATGGAATTATAATATCATCTATTATTATTTTTATTGGTTCCTTCAATTTGTTTTTGTATACTTTTCTCTAAAAAACTCTCGGCAATATATACAAGAAGCCAAAGCAAGAGTAATTATATATAAAACAACCCCAGAGTTCCCAACTGCCAAAGGAGTACGACAAGGAAACGTGATATCCCCTAACCTGCTTACACAGCAGCACTAGAAGAAATTTAAAAATAGATGGAGAATATCTCAACTACCTAAGATTTGCTGATGACATAGTCATAATTGCCAATAGTCCTGAAGAACCACAAGCACATATTAACGAACTAAATATAGCCATCAATAAAGTGGGTCTCAAAATAAATTTAACAAAAACAAAAGTAATGCACAACAAAGTAGTGGATCGAAAAGACATAATAGTAGGAAAATATATATATTTGGAACAGCTCTCTACTACCAGAAATCAACATAAGAATTAAAATAGCATGCAGCACTTATGGAAGAAACTTAATCATATTCCAACCTAGAATGCCACTTTATATTAGAAGTAAACATTCGACCAATGTGTACTACCAGTCATTACTTATGCATGCGAAACATGGACTCTTAAAACGAACATTATAAGAAAACTGCAGGTCGCATAACGTTCAATAGAACGAAATATGCTGGAAATAACCAAGAACCTTGTAAAAAAAAGGGAGCGAATACGACAAAAGATCGAAAAGAAAAGAAAAATAGATGTCATCCACAGAATCAAATCTGTCAAGTGGCAATGGGCAGGACACCTGGCGAGAAGGACGGACAACAGATGGACAATAAAATTTACAGCATGGTACCCACGTGGCATTAAGAGACCTAGAGGAACACCAAACCTGAGATGGGACCGTGATATTAGGTTATTAGCGGGGATAACTTGAGCCTGCATAGCTAACAATAGACAATTATGAGCCCAACTACAAACAGAGTATCTAAACATGTGAGGGAGGCTATATCATAATTGGAAATGACTGATTAAGCCGAGAATGATGATGACACCGAAAGACTTTAATTTTAAACACTGGACACGCGTTTTGCTAACCATGTTAGCATTATCAGCTTTAAGGATTAAAACGGATCAAACAGTTTTAATTATCTGCTGATGACGCTAACATGGTCAGCGAAACGCGCGTTTAATGTTTAAAAGTAAAGTGTTTTAGTGTATTTTGGTGAATTAGTGTTTTATTTTGCTTTAATGATCTATAACACATAAAGCTGTCTGAATTAAACTATGTTACTCGTCACAACACGACAAGATGAAAAATAATATTCATTGGTGTACTCAACTTATTTTTTTGGTCTATTTTGAGTTACACCTTTTCGTTTGGACAGTGACGATATGACTAGTCCAAAACTAGCCTGGTATTACTATATTTCACTTGAGTTAACCTATTATTGATAATTTAAATTTTATTAATTGCTAAAGAATTCGATAAAATACGCATATCTGACTTTATAAACATACTGAAAGAGAAAAAAGAGCCTGATAATGTTGTGAAAATCATCAGAAAACTAAATATTGATATCATAACTCATGTAAAAGCAGGGGGCATCTAACACGAGATATACTAATACCAGGAGGCATTAGACAAGGAGACTCCTTATTCAATCTTATAATGGACATAATCATAGAAAAGAAAGAAGGAAAGACTTCGATGAATATCGGTTATCGAATGGGACACAACAGAGTTAGCATGGTGTTGATAGCACGCTAATGTTGTTAGCACTGATGTAGTGTTATTGTTAGCACGCTGATGATGCAGCCATTATCGCGGATACAGGGTACGATATGCAGAGACAGCTTCTTAAGTTCTATCTAGTAAGCCGAAAATTAAATATGATTATCTCTACAGAAAAAAAACTTTCTCTAGAGAGCCGGTAAGATGCAAACTGGTAATAGAAAACAAAATTATTGAAATAAGTCTCACAGTTTAGATACCTAGGAATAGATATGTCGAACTACCATGATCCGGAGTTAGATTTGAGAAGCCAAATAAACACAGTAACGGCCATGTCAGGATGTCTTAGGCAAATAGTGTGGACAAACCCCTTCACCCCATGCAAGCAGACAGCAAAATTAAAATTTGCAATATATAAATAATTAAAATTTACAAATATATTTCTCCATGTGTATCTGTTTGACTGAATTTTTAAAAACGAATAACGATTAATATCAGGCAGACTGTAAAACTAAATCGAATACAACTAGGAAGACTGTCAAAAATAAGGTTAAAATATAATAAACTAGCATGTACCAGCGACTTCGTTCGCGTCGAATTAATAATTTGTAAATATAAACCAAAGCAAGCATTTCCATTAACATACAAACTGGATAAAATTTTCTCGCATTTATGTCAGCATGAGAAAAAACAATATGGCGATATTATTATATAACTTGGTAATATTTGTGGGGTAGTTTCATCTCGTTGGAATTTGACTTTCGAAAAATCCGTTTGCCAAAAATAAGCATTTTACGTCAAGCAGTTTAAGCAGAATCGTGGTTAATCAATTACCCAACTTTTTGGAACACCCTGTATGATTTTTTAAAAAATTTCAAAATATGTAAAAAAAAACAAATAAATTATGCTTGTCCAAGCGTTTCCTCGAAAGACTAACCGTTTTTTAAATAACAAGTATTGTAATAAGGGGCGTTTTCACCCTCTTGGAATTTGAGATTCGAGAAGCCCCTCCTTATCAAACCTCTGCACCCCACAGTCAATCTGTTTGCCAAAAATCAGCTTTAAACGTCAAGCAGTTTAAGTAGAATCGTGATTACTCAATGGTCATATTTTATGAAAAACCCTGTATAAATTTATAAAAAAAAAACTTAAAATATGTAAAACAACAAAATAAAATATACGTGTTTAAGAGTTTTTCCAAAAAACTCACCGGTTTTTAAATAAAAAATATTTTAATATTTGAGGGATAATTTCATCCCCTTAGAATTCGAGTTTCGAAAAATCCCTTCTTATGGAACCTCTACATCCTAAAGTCAATCTGTTTTCCAAAAATCAGCTTTTTGCGTCAAGCGCTTTAAGCAGGATCGTGATTAATGAATGACCAGATTTTTCGAAACACTCTGTATACATTTTTAAAAAATCTTAAAATATTTAAAAAAACAAAATAAAATATAGTTGAGTCGCTGAAATGAACATCCTAAGACCCATAATGGCGAAGAATAGAAGAGACAGAATTAGAAACACAAATATCAGACAACAATATGAAACATAATGGTTCGCACACGTAAAACGTAGGTAAGAGACAGTCGGTAAGACCTCCAAAAAAATGGAAAGACAGTTGGCAGTCTATCCCCAAGAACTCCTACAGAGGCAACCCCTTAAAAATAACAGATCGATTAGATCTCAAATAAGTAGAAGAACAAGAAAATTTTATTAAAATGCTTTTTTGTTCTATAATAAATCCCCTAGGCCTCATGCAAATTCTTTCGGTTTTATTTTACTACTGTTGATCAAACTGAATACGTATCTCGATTTAGTTGTTTCAGTAATATTTAAATTCGCTTAATATATTCATTCATATTATGGTCATATAATTAATAGTCTTGTTTTTGAATAAAATGGGTGACGTAATTTTGCTTCAATCCCATTTATAGGTATGACTGTAATAAATGTCACTTATTACGTTTGTGTCAAGTTTATGCAT